TGTGATTGGCACAGGACAGAGCGGAGTTTAGGGCTGTTGTACATAGGGTCGCTATCAGTCGCAGGCGACTCGACGGCACATAACAACAACAACAACAACAACAACAATCATATATCAACGTGTGGCAGGAGCCCCCATACCACTCAAGGGGGTGCCACTAATATAAGAGGATTTTCAGGCCTGAGATTCTAAGAGATCCAGTGAGATTAACAAGGTAAAGATAAAAGGGTAGGTCTAAGATTTGAATTTTAGTATATTCATATTATCTGTCTCAAGCTTCTAAATCATGCTTAGTCCTCTCTACTAAGTAAATCAAATTTACTCAAAGTTTTAAGCAAGAGACAAGCTCAAGGACATTCTGAGCCAGACTGCCTTACTAGCTCATTGTCACAATCCTTTGTTTTCTTTTGATTGGAAGCCTTGACTAGAAGAATGACAGTGTTCTTTCCCCAAAGGTGAGGTTTCTTTCCCCTTTACTTAGTAAGGGGCTTGCTTATTTATTCTTTACAGAAATTTGTGGTTTATAACCTGATTTCAGTCCATCTCTTAGCTTTTGATTTACATAGTTAAGGAGGAACTCAACAATACTCCTGTATCTCTGACAAATTAGCTGATAATTCTGTTCAAAAGAATGCCAATGCTATTTCTTTATCAAATGAAGTTTTGTAAATGTACTATTTTAACTCTTTGATAATAAAATACCTTATTGTTTTAAAAAAAAAAGATTGGATGCTGTTTATTTCCCTTTCTTTCCTTATTGTTCTGGGTAGGACTAAAGTACAGTATCAAATACGGGTGGTAATAAAGGGTATCCTTGTGTGGTTTCCAGTCTCAAGGCGAATGTTTTTATTCTCTATTTAGAATGTTGACTGTTGACTCTGTATATAAATCATTAATTATACTGAAGAATTTCCCTTCTATTTCTACTTTGTTGAGAGTCTTTAATCAAGAAAGGGTTTGTTAGGTTTCAATATTAATTTGAGTGCTCTCTACATTAAGACATGATGCCAGGATCTTCGAAGGCTACAGAATAAGACTACATTCCTATTCTCAGTGTTTATGATCTCCTTCAGCAGCATAAATCATATGATATTTGTTTTTGTTTTCCTGAATTCTTCTACAGTTTTGTCTGTGTCTTCCTTGATTTTGTCTGTGATTTCCTTGGCATGGCATTTGTTTCTTTCTTAATCTTTAGAAGGGTCCTTATGTATTCTTTATCAGGTAGTTCCAATATAAGTTCTTTTTATGGAATACTTTCTGGCCCTCTATTCCAGTCATTGGAAACTTCTTGTCTTATTTTTGGATGTGATGTGAAGATAACCTCACAGAACACAGAAATTATTAAACAATATCACTAACATCACATGCAAGCAAAATCTCGGTGAAGATTATTAAAAACAAACAAACAAAACCTTGAACGGTTCATTAACAGAGAACTGCCAGAAATACAAGGTGGGTTTAGAAGAGGTCGTGGCACTAGAGATATCATAGCTTATGTCAGATGGATCTACACTGAAAGTAGAGAGTATCAGAAGGATGTCTATTTGTGTTTTATTGACTGTGCAAAGGTATTTTTTTAATTGTGTGAATCACAACAAATTGTGGCTAACGTTGAGAAGAATGGGAATCCAAGAACACCTGATTATACTCATGCAAAATCTATACACCTAATAAACACCCATGTTTATTGCTGCTTGTTCACAATAGCAAAGAGTTGGAAACTAGAGAAGCTGTGGTATATTCACACAATGGAATATTATGCAACACTGAAAAACCATGAACTCACAAAATGTACAAAATGGGTCACCATGGAGGACATTATGCTGAGTGAAATATCTCAGTCACAAAAGGACAAATACTTGCATACCCATGTTTATTGCAGCTTTGTTCTCAATAGCAAAGAGCTGGAAACAACCCAAGTGCCCATCAACAACTGAATGGATAGAGCTCTGGTATAGTCACACAATGGAATACTATGCATCGTTGAAAAATGGGGAACTCATGAAATATTATGCAAAATGGATAACCTTGGAGGACATTATGCTGAGTGAAATATCTCAGTCACAAAAGGACAAATACTGCCATAGGGCCACTGTTGTAAAATGGGACTGACATCAGGGTTGAGGGAAGACAGAAAAGGAGGGGAGGAATGATGTATATTGCATTGAAACAGATGAAGGAGATATCTGCTTAAGAGGGATAGATGAATGGGTGTTCTTGTCATTACAGAAGTCTAGAGTGAAGGCTGCATAGTGGAATGAACTTCGGGGAAGGGATTGCATAACAATGAAAGAGTTTTAGTTTTTAGTTTTCTTTCCAAGGAGAAGATTGATTGGGGAGGGCAGAGGGTGGGCAGGGAGAAAGTGCAACAATGAATGACTGGAAACCCTAAGTCTCTGTAAATGTCCATTAAAATTAATAATTTTTTTAAAAAATCATTAAAAAGAAGGACAAATATTTCATAATGCCACTATTATAAAATAGGACTGACATGGGGGTTGGGGAGAAAACTAAGAAAAGGGAGGATAAATAATGTACACAGCATAGAAAGAGAAAAGGGAGAGAATTGTATAAAAGGAATATATGATTAGGTATTATTTTCATGACAAGAGTCCAAAATAAGAGCTGCATAGTAAAGTGGACTTGGGGGTGGGCACTGTATAACAACAAAAGAATTTTTTTTTCCAAAGAGAAAAGCAAACTCAGGGGTGGGGGGACAGGGAGGAAAATGTGCAACAATGAATGGATGGAAAACCAAGTTCTCTATAAACTTTCATTAAAATCTCAATGGAAAAAAAAAAACACAACAACACACAAACTATACCTAGAGCAGGAAGCTATTGTACAAACAGAGCAAGGGAAGACTACATGGTTCAAAACTCAAGAAGAGTACATCAGGGATGTGTCCTTTCTCCAAATATTTTCAATCTAAATGC